ATGTGTATTAGCGTGTAGATTTCAATTTCTGAACAGTCTAATCTCTAATTGTCATACCATTCGAATTTCATATAAAGAAATTCTTTTAATCCAAAAAGCCAATTATTCTCCTCGAACTGGTTCTCTTAAAAATACAAAAACTTGTGTAATCCCACGTAGGCTGTAGATTTGAAGATGTAATCAGATGCACATTTAAAACGGGAATAAAATTTAAGTCACATGTATTTCATAAACACATAATCCTTTCTGGATTACAATCTGCCATCAAAATGCTCAATTTAATCATTCCAGCTGCTGTGAGAAAAGGCTTATAAACGATCGGCCCTCTGCAGGATCCTCACATGCGATAGCATACTAGCCAGGACTCCTTCTTTATGTTTACAGACGTGACGTAATGACGCAGTGCCATACTCGAAATTTCCTGCAAATTCCTACCCGTACCACTCAAATTAGAAAACATTATTATAAGCTTACCGTTGTGAATCGGGCTAAAGTAAGGCGATCGTTTTGAACACTGGCTGGTTATGTACTTGCTCAAATATTGTTTTTGGATAACCAAAAAAAGTTACGGACTGCAGCTTTAAATATCACAATATGACATAACATAATCTAACTACTGATTACCTCAAGATTACCTGGGGCTAGTTTGTCACAAAGGTGTTTCCTCTAGCAGTGGTATAAGTTTTGTATATCTGTTTCAAACACCTAATTTTACACCAGAATACAGTTTGTAGATTCTGTCCCCAAACTAAGATTTAGCATTTGTGTTAAGTTAATATAAAATATTGACGTCGTTTGAGTCGGTTTGACTTTGAGATTTTAATGCCATTGACACATGATAGTGGAGAGCCTGAGGAGACATGTGTTATCAGCCTACTTGGGATAATTTAGAAATAAATGTGGTCGCCAACGCTTGTCTTTTTTAAATATTTGATTTTAATCCACAGTCAAAGCGCACAGCAGAGCCACTACCCAAGGTGAAGGAGATGAAGAGGATGACTTTAGAAAAAACGCTGGATGCGAACAGTCCTCCCCTCTACCCATGTTCATCTTCACCCTCCAGCTCCAGAAGTGCTTCTGCTGTGCCGCCGCAGCATAAAGCTTTTGTTGATGATGTTTTGCGAATGCTTGCTGAGGACATGCTGCCCCTGAACTTCACTGAAGGCTCTGGGTTTCGTAAGTTCATGTCCTCAGTTGGTCCTCAACATCCACAACTCTCACAGCGCACCATAGTTTTAGAGCTCTACAATGCTGTGGAGAAAACCATCAAGCCACAGCTGATCCAGCAGCTCATGAGCTGCGTATCTCTGAGTGCAGGCCGTAATGTCGTTCACCTCACCGCTGATATTTGGGCTAGTGAACATGCAGAACCACTTCTGGCCGTTCAGATGCACTTTCTTGATGACGACTGGAACATTCACAGACCGACTGTGGCTTTTCGCCAATTGCAATGTAATCAGTTTACGGCACAGATCGGAGGAGAGCTCGAATCAGTTCTTCTAAGCTATGGGCTTTTCCCACATAACATTGGTTACAGCATTATCCACGAGGCCAAGAACACTATTGCCACACATGATGTTTTCTGTGACTACAAGATCATGTATTCTGCACAAAAGAACGATCCAGACGAAGATGAGTTATTGCGTTTTCTTAATGACCAGTTCGCCATAGATGATTACTCTATAGCTGAAATCTCGTGCAGCAAACATCTGGATTGTATTACAACACTACTGCATTGTGTAATGAAGGAGGCACTGAAGAAGTCCAGAGTGGTTGAGCGTATACTTGTTGAGATACAAAGCGTGGTGTCTTTTTTTCGCCGCAGTGCCTACTGGCTTGAGGTTCTTGCACGGAAATGCAAGCTCTCACTGTCTGTTTCTTGCAGCACAAGCAGCTACACCTGGAACTCCACAATCACCATCATCCGTGAGCTAATGCAGGAGTCGGTATGGGACTTGGTGATGACCCTTCTCAATCAAGCTCGCACGGAGACAAACAGCTGCAGTATTTGTCCACCGGTGGTTCATGTTGCGCGTGAGCAGGTAGCGGACTTTGTTGGCTTGGTGGAGCCTTTCGAAGAAGTGGTCCAGCTGCTTCAGGAAGACGCTTTCACCTTGTCCCTCGTCATTCCGTCCATCATTGGACTCGATAAAACACTTGAGACAAAGGCCACGAGCTTCAGCCTTTTCTGCTCAGCCCTGCGCTCTGGTCTCCGCTCTTACTTCCAGCCTCTGATTTTGCGAAGAGATTTTATACTAGCCACAGTTCTGGACCCGCGAATCAAGCTGCAACCCTTTGACGGTGGAAAAGAGAAGTTTAAGAGTACCACACTGTTTACACCCTCCAAACAGCGTGCCTCTTCAGTTGTGGAGTCAGCATTAAGTGAAACTTGTGCCACCGCAAATGTGAGCTGTGATAAAGCAGATGCTGATATGCAGAAGCTAATGAACGTGCCTGAGCTGCGTCAGTATTTATCAGAGCCCTTGTCTGAGGGAGAGGTTTCTGTCCAGGCCTTCTGGAAACAAGCTAACCGCTTCCCTCGCCTACAGAGCGTCTGCCGCAAGCTGCTGGCCGTACCAGCATCTTCAGGGGGGTTTAAAAGACTGTTTCCTCTAGCCTCCTGTATCGTACGGGCCCAGAGAAACAGACTGCCACAACACACCACAGAACGACTTCTGCTGTACCGAGAGTATCGGAAAACAAATGGCAAAAATGCGATGGAGTGAACACTGAGCATTTTGCTTTCTTAAAGGAAGTGAAAAATACATGATGACATAAAGTGTATGTATTTTTTTTATTTAATGTTTTTGTTTGAGTGACTTCATTAGAGTGTCACTGATAATAAACGTCTTGATAAATATATAAAAGTCTAGATATCTTGAATTGATTGTCAAATTGTAGTTTTCACATCTTTCTCATTTTTCACTTTAAAAACTGTCTTTCTTTTTTTTTAGTTCTTTTTCAAATTTGTGAAATTTGGCTATTTATTTTTGAATAATTTACTTAATTATGTTAAATAATTCTGATATTTTTAGCGTGCCTGTCCAAATGATGTCACCGTATTTTTGGAAAAATGAAATATATAATGTTAAAATGTATTGCAAAAAAATTATTAAAGCTTTTGCAATAATTAAGGGTTTATAGAATTAACCATTTGATTCAGTTTTTGTCATTTTGAAAGGGTTTCTATAGTACTTGAATGACTGACAAATAACAAGGACATCATTTTATTTAATTTTTTTCAACAGGTTATGTTCAAATTGATCTGAATGTATAAGAGAGTGTGTCTTATGCTGGTTACCATTTCCACTAGTTTATTTGTACCACACCAAAAGTCAGACATTTTAAAAACCATTTTAAAAACAATCTAAAAAAGATTGTATCTATAGAAACAATAATAGAAGATTTAGAAAGATGTTGGATTAGTTTTAGTACAGTGTGAATTATAGCACACGAAGAAGCAGGACACGGCTTGAAACCTCTCATTAGCTATTGATGGATTGATGTCAGACTCAATAATTAGCTGATAACTTTGCCTGTTCCACAAAAGTGGTTTGTTTAATGGCAATGTTTTTTTTTAAATGTTTAATGGCGAATGTTGATTTAATAGTGTATTGATATTTTTGATCTTGATCTTCTTGCTTGCAGTTTGATGTGCAACCTATTCATGTTAACATCTCAAAAATTGTGTTTTAGGGTTTCATGACACTTTAAAATAAAGTGTGACCCATATTTCTAAGGCCTATAAATTGGTCAAAACACAATGACAGATGCCTTCTGTCATCTGATTGATCATTTACCTTTTTAGCGAGTAAAAGGCCTTTTAGTATAATTGTCCACCTTCAGCTTGTGCTGCATGTGTTTTAGCTGTCAAATCTTTACTGGTTTTTATAAAGTAAACACAAGTATAACTTTAATTGTTAGTAATATTTCAAGATGAACATGTACTGAAGCAACGCAGCTTTACTTGACATAAATTTGTGACGCTAATGAAAATACGTTGCACCTACACAGTAAAATGCTGTATTTACATTTTTTTTTTTTTTTTAATTATTATTATTTTAGAGTTGTGAGATTCCAGATGCTGTAATATCCCAGAATGCTGTTGTTCAGTGATTAAGGGACAGTCAGTACTGAGCGCTTTCCCCTTCTCAGATTCATAACCATTATTTTAAAACCAGTCTGAGCTGGTGACCAGTCTCCTGTTCGTATAAAATAAGAAATCCTCTGTAGTTTGTGACTGTGTCAAGCCGTGTGAATGGCTTTCTCAATGACACACTTCACCTGCATGACCTCAGGTAATCTCACCGGTGAAGCCCTTAATGTGATTTTCCGGCTTTGCCGAGAGTTTGCTGATGGACTTTATTGGAAACAAGTAAACCCCAGTAATCTGTGTCCTCGCTGTAACACGTTTAATTCACATCCAGAGAAATGGCTCTGCATTCATTCTTTCAGTATCATTCTCTTTGAGACCTTTCAATGGCTGTTTCATGAAAACTGAATATGTGTACTTGTTATAGAGCAGAATAGAGTGCTTCATTGTCATTACGGTGAGTTTCTTCTTCATTTTAATAAGTGTGTGTAAAACAGACGGCTGTTTAAGTGAACTGAGTGGACAGATCCGTTTGCTATGAGACCAATGTGATTCCTGCACTGATATGATTATTATAGCCCTTGTGGAGAATATGATGCACTGACATGAAATTGTCATCAGTGACACTTGAGAGGGCCAATCAGGGTTTCCGTTATTGGTTTGCACAATGATTATGAATGTCATCTATAAACAATCAAACCTCGGAAATGTTCTTTTATCCATTTAAAGTAGCTTACTGTCTTTTGCCTTTAGATATATGTATGTGTCATAAGGACAGCCGTCGTCTAAATGAGCGTCAGTTTGACTCTGATGCAGTATTGGAGCAGCAGTGCGTCAGCTGTTGGTTAACTTCCTACTTAGGAGGCTCTCCTTTAATCAGATTGGCTGTAAGTCCATCAGTTTGCAGAGCTTCGAGAGCCTCACCTCACTGTCATTTTCAGTTACTGGCTTTTTGATGGCCTTTTTGGTGGGTTGAATTTAACCCAAAAACAAATGTTGGGATTGCCGAAAATGTCTTCCAAGTAGTCCAATTGCTGAAAAGTCAAAAGTTTAAAAATAATTGAAGGAGAAAGTTTTTGATTCCTGGAAGAAAACTGAAATGCATAACTGGAATAACTAGGAGGCAGCTCTGAGTGTCTGTGAGGTCAGAGGTCAGAGAAATGGGATATTTCAGGAGTAAGTGGATTAGCTGGTAAATCTGGAGCGGGTCTGAAATAGCTGCTTTATTCACTCTTTGGCTTGATGTGAGCACAGAACAGCAGAATTAACTCAGACGCTTGCTGTTTGAAAATGAGCAGGACGTACAGCCGATCTGGAAGGATCCGTAAGAAGATTGTGCATCTTAAAGGAAGGCAAAATAAATGATATAGTGTCATTTGCTTTTGATTCTTACTACGAGAGAGTGTATGATTGAGGGGGCAGGTTATCACTTCAGCTGTGGATTCAATGGATCGAAGAGAAAGTAACGTTGATTTTCTCTAGCAGTTTTTGGGTGAGTAATAATCACAACTCATTCTTTAGTCTGAGACAATATCATTGAACAGCAAACCCAATGTGTTCAGATGAAATAATGGTGAATTAATAAAAAATGCAATTATGTTTTGTATGAAGACAGGTTATAGCCTTGATTTGAGAAGCTATGGATGGCTGGAACATTTCACATTTCACACCAAAAACAAAACCAAACTGTATTTTGCATAAAGAATGAAACCTGATTTATTTATTTTTTTGCATTGTGAGAGTTAAACACACAGCTATTCCATAATGTAGTTACTGTATTGCATTCAGATGTTTAACATTTGAGAGGTTTTTTGTAGTTGCAAAAATTATTGTATTTTTTTATTTAAAAAAAAAAAATTTTAAGGTATAATATTAGTATTAATTAACAATTGATATATTATTTTTACGTTAATAAGAACTGGGGAGAAACTACTTGTACAACTGTACTCATCACAAAAAATAAGCAGCACTGTTTTTGATAATAACATAAATGTTTCTTGGGCATCAAATCAGCAAATTATATTGTTTTCTGAAGGATCGTGTGCTGGAGTAATGAAGCTGAAAATTCATCTTATTGTTTTTACTGTATTGCTGATGAAATAAATGCAGCTGTAATTGCTGAGTATAAGCAACGACTTAAAATAGATCTTACTGAATCGTTGACGTCTGTAGTGTTAATTCATTTATCCTGTGCCCAAACAGATATTGCCATGGAGGAGGGAGTATTATGGACTTTGGTAAGGAATGGCAAAAACTTACTTTGGTGGAAAAAAATGGTGGAATAGTCAAGTAAGAATCAGAACGATGTTACACTATGTTTGACTTTGTCCTCTTGCCTTTTACATTTTAAAGATATTTTGAGTTCCTAATGTAATCAGTAAAGCAACAAAGATTTCCTATGTCTACTTGTCTGTTTGACATCTATGTTGCAGAACTCAGTTGGTGAATGGTTTTGCTCACCCGACGAGACTCTTCAGACAGTCTCTCCTGAGTTTCTAAGTAGATCATGTCTGTTTGATTCTTAAAGTGACGGGTTCCAGGGTTCCCAGAGCCAAATACACAATGGTTCGAGAGGCGCTGTGTTACCTGATCCCCTATCAAATGCAGTGCTCCATGGGATGTGGTGGACTGGCCTGCAAGTACGAGGACCCTTCACACTGGAGTGAAGACGATCAGGCGATCAGAGGAATCTACTCGTCTTGGTACACGGCATGCACTTAAACATGGCCTTTACCAAATGAGGTTAAGCCTCTGGCAGTCTTGTGAACCGAAGCTTCTCTGTATGTTGAGTTCTCCCAGCACATTTTTCTTTATGCCAAACAGTTACAAAAATAATGAGTTTCTTTTCCCCAAAATGTTTCCTCTTCAGAAAGTCAACCGATCATCAAAGCCTTGCTTTTACTTGATTTTACGCCCCAAAAATGTCAACTTTAAGATTTTACTTCAAGTTTTATGCAATAACAACATGTACGAATGGATTAGTTCAACTCATGGCTTCTCTGTTTCTTTTTAGGATCACCGACAATCTGCTGGCCATGGCCCGCCCTTCCACCGAAATCATTGAAAAATTTGACATAATAGACCAGTTTTTGAGGTAAAGCTGATGATTGTAAAAACAAAACTGGTTCTGGAGTATGTGTTTGGTACGCTTTTATAATTAGCTGTTTCGTCATGTTAAGATGTGGTTTGAAGACAGTTATTAACCTCCAGTGCCCTGGCGAACATGCCAGCTGTGGAAACCCACTGGATCCCGAGAGCGGCTTCACTTACCGACCGGAGACATTCATGGAGGCTGGCAGTGAGTGACGCTTTCTTTTTGTACATCGTCTGATTCTGCCTAACTTTCAGTATGTATTTTTTCCTGTGTAATGTAAAGAATCTTCTTGACACATTGAGTTGTTCTTATGTTTTCAGGTTGTAAAGGTACTCTTGTTACTCTATTTTAGTATATTTCTACAACTTTAGATGGAATGACTATGGTGTGGCGTCTCTCACATCCATCTTGGATATGGTGAAAGTCATGTGTTTTGCCATCCAAGAAGGCAAGATGGCTGTTCACTGTCATGCAGGGCTTGGCAGAACAGGTACAGGTCTGTTTTATATGTTAAAATATATTTATAATTTAATAAACATACCTGATTTATAGGTTGCTGGTTTGATCCTTACAAGCAGCCATGATCTATTGTTATTGTGTCCTCAAGCAGCACACTTAACCTGAGATTAATCCAGAGTGATTTTCTGGATAATGATGCTGCCGTAAGTCGCTTTAGTTAAAGGGGTCATGAACTGAGAAACCAAAATTCCCTTGATCTTTTGACATATAAGAAGTCATTGTACTATAAAAACATCCTGTAAGTTTCAGAACTCGTTACTTTCTCATTAGTCTAAAAACAGCTTTTATTGAATCTAGTCTGCCAAAACAACAGCTTGTGGAATGTTCTACTCTATGATGTAATAGTGTGGATAAGCATCGCCTCCACAGAAGAAGATCAACACTCACATAAGTTAAAAGCAAAAATAACTGGATTTGTGCAGATGGAAGGGTTGCTGTATGCATTGCTGACAGTGTTTGTATGAGTATGTGTGAAAAAACAGCATATGAGCATTTTAGGTAGTAACTGTCATCTAAATCCTTTTCCCGCCATTTAACATGCAGTGTAGGTGGTGTGCTCGGGGATTAGGTCTAGCCTTTAATATGTATTCAGCAAGTGCACAACATCCTGTACGTTTCAGAACTCAAAACTTTCTCGTTAGTCAAAGAACAGCTTAGGTGCCTCTTTATGATGTAATAGTGTGGCTAAACACTGCCTCCGCAGAAGAAGATCAACTCCTGCTTCTACATCAGCCCCGCCCACTGATTCTCACATGTAGTAGGTAAATGAATAGAGTGGCAAATGCAGGTCTATGCAGAAACCAAACGATAAAGATGCTCCGAAGACAACAAGACGCTGTTCAGTGCCAAGCTGTTGGAAAACAGTCTTTGCATTGCCTTCCTTCTTATCCCAACGTTAGGATAGATTGGATGAACTTTATTTTTAATGAAGATCCAGACCGCATCAGTAAGAACTCGGTCCTTTGTTCACTTCATTTTACCGTGAATTCATTTACAAACAAGGCACAATTCGACGCAGGATTTTCAGAAAAATTCAAACTAAAAGACGATGCTGTGCTGACTATATTGGATCTGACAGTAATGTCGCAACACACAAGTGTGAGTAACTATTTTTATTATGTGGTCGCTATTGCTTTGTCTGTTATACATATCGTTTGATATGTATTGAGTATGTATGCGTTTTTAACCTAAATCACAGCAGCGTCCATCGGTGAAGGATGTAGGCTGTCAATCATACACAGCTATTAGCCAATCATAGCAGTGTGCTTTTACTTCCGAGTCTACAATCCACTGCGCCTATTCATGCAGAGCTTCTGATGAGGGGGTTAAAAACAGGACAGAAAATAGCCTTTTACTTCTAAATTATGTTTTGTATGTAAAAATATTGATAAGATTATAAGGGGACCTCAGAGAACAGTACAAAAAAAAAAAAAAAAAGGCAGTTCATGACCCCTTTAAAAGCATCTGCGTAAGCACTACCCATGCAGTGAGCACAAGCTTCTAAAAACTTTTTTTTTTATTATAAAGATGTCAGGGTTGATTTTGAGCTATAGCATTATGGACAGCACTCCAGGTGATTCGAGTTCAAGCCCCAGCATGTGGTCCTTTCATTTACATATATGCATTTAGCAGATGCTTTTAATGCATGAAAACATTTTTTTCAATTCATACATTCTATGGGAATCAAACCCATGACCCTGGCATGCTAGTGCCATGCTCTACTGTTCAAGCTACAGGAATGCTTTCCTGATCCCTGTCTCTCCCTGACTGTCCTCTCAAATAAAGACAAAAAAAAAAAACAGTTTTCAATCATGTAGTAGTAACCTACACTTAAATGTTTGCAACCAAATTGCAACATTACGATATGTACACTAGCTGGATACTGACTCTTTTTACGTGTTGTTGTTATAGGTGTGTTGCTGGCCTGTTTCTTGTTGTTCACCACACAGATGACAGCAGACCAAGCCATTCTGTTAGTTCGAAGCAAACGACCAAACTCGATCCAGACTAGAGGACAGCTCCAGTGCGTCAGGCAGTTTGCTCAGTTCCTGGTTCCGCTAAGGAACGTGTTTGCTAACGCCGAGCCTAGAGCGCCGCCCGTTTCTCTTTCACAATACTTGATCCGCCAGAAACATATACTGCACGGATACGAGGCTCGGAAGTTGAGATACATGCCAAAGCTCGTCACTCTCATCTGCAGACTCCTACTGGACATCGCAGAGAATCGGCAGGTTATCGAGGAGGATGTTGTCGAGGTTCCTGACGTCACATCTGTGGTAGAGAAAACATTTAATGAGAGTTCAGTGTATCAGTTAAACAGAGAGATTTTGGGAAATGGGATGACTATGATCAGGCCACGTCTTCCAGGTCTACCCAGAGGCAACACACAACCTCTTTACTATGTCCGTAAGAGCCTCAGCTACAGCGAGTCTGACCTCCAGAGGTTAGCAGCATCTTTAAACCTCTCGGACAACCCTCTCGGGGTTTTAGCCAGCATCCACTCAACTACCATCAACGGTCAGCTGGCAGCTTTCAGCTGTGTTTCCCAGAACTACATCACTCCTTCTCTGGGGGCTTGCAAGGACAATCCCATCTACAGCTCAACCAGCAATATATGGGAGCTGAAAACTCTTATGGACCAGACAGAAGGATCTCCACTGCTCAAAACCAGGAGGCAGTCGGTCCTGCAGCGAAGCCAATCTCTAGGCGTTTCAGACGAGAAAAGCACCACGAGCATCGCCAGAATATTGTCCTACTGGAGGAGAGACTGCAAGCAAAGTACTGACCCTGACGAGGCTCAACACAATGAAAAAGAGCATTCGGAGGTGCCCTTCATCACTATCCAATCCGAGTTATCTCTGGAGTCGCGTCACCTCCTGGTGGCTCAGTCCCTTGCGGTAGACCTTGAGAAGGATGGAGAGAAGGAGCAAATTCAGAAGGTGTCTACTTGGCAAGTAGGTGCATGCACTGATTTACTAAGAAGTATTAAAGATGTATTAAAATATTAAATTGAGTGTTCATTCTTATATCTGTCTTTGGTTTTGGTATATTCCTTTGTTGTTTGTTCATTTTTCTGTGCTTCATGTCTACTGTCATTTTTCAATTTGTCGCATTCTCAATTTAAAACAAAAAGCATCAAAGTATTAGTTCACTTCCAGAATAAAAATGTCCTGATAATTTACTCACCCCCAAGTCATCCAAGCTGTTTATGTCTTTCTTCAGTCAAAAAGAAATGAAGGTTTTTTTATTTAAACATTCCAGAATTTTTCTCCATATAGTGGACTTCAATGGTGGTCAACGAATTGAAAGTCCAAACTGCAGCTTCAAAGAGCTCTGCACGATCCCAGCCGAGGAATAAGGGTCTTATCTAGCGAATCGATCAGTCATTTTCTAAAAAAAAAAAAACAAACAAAAAAACATTTATATACTTTTAACCACAAATGCTCGTCTTACATTAGCTTGACCTCACGCATTGCGTAAAGTCACGTTGGAGAGGTCACGTATGATGTAGGCAGAAATACCAACCCAGTGTTTACAAAGCGAACATGCAAAGACTAAACCAAACGCCCTTGACAAAAAAAAAGGTAAAACGACGACGATTTTAAAGTAAGAGCAGAAAATCGGATGGAGTTCGGAACTACATCTGCCTACGTCGTGCGTGACCTTTCCAGCGTGATTAAGTAATGCAAAGTCATCGACGAGCACCGCAGAGCTAGTGCAAGATGAGATGAGCACATTCCTCAGCTGGTATCGTGTAGAGCCCTTTGAAGCTGCATTGAAACCTTGATTTTTTCAAAAAAAAAAAAAAAAAAACCTTCAACAAAATTACAAATTAATTAATCTTTTCGACTGAAGAAGGAAAGATATGAACATCGTGGATGACATGAGGGTGAGTAAATTATCAGTAATTTTTTTTATTCTGGAAGTAACTAATCCTTTAAAGTTAAAGTAGGGATTGGCAGCTCTGGTCCTGGAGGGCCACAGTCCTGCAGGGTGTACTTCAATCCCTAAGAGTGGTGTGACGTGTAGCCAAGTATGGTAACCCATACTTAGAATTTGTGCTCTGCATTTATCCCATCCAAGTGCACACACACCGCACCATTTTTGCCACCTACTGGAGGTTAGGTGTACTAAGGGGCACCTAATGGCTCACTTTTGGGGGGTTTTCCACTGCATACAGTAGCTTGAACCTGGTACTTTTTTTTAGTACCACCTCGGTTGAGGTTCCAAGTGAGTCGGACTGATACTAAAATGTGACTTGTAAACTCTGCAGATCACTGATTGGTCAGAGAGAATCGTGACTGCCAGCGTCATTGGATTTGCGACACGAGACACCAAATCCGCTAGATTTAAATAGTCAGCAACAGCCACTGCAGTATCATTTGTTTGCACGTCTTTTTTAAACGACTTGCTTTAACCAACCACTGCACGCAACTTGAAAAATGAGTTGGCTTCAGATCTCCCACACCTCCAGACATGAGTGTCCACCGTTGCTGCGTTGTTTTTGGGATACCTGCTCCATTTTAGAGGGAACTGCTCCACAATTTACTTCACAGAGACACTTTACACTAAGTGCAAATAGGCTATTTACATTAACTCCACCCATCAACGTGTGATTGGGGCTCGTCAACAATACAATAGACGATCGCTCTTACATCAGCTCCAGTGGTGTAGATAGTTAAACGTGTGTCGTAGTCATTTTTGACACGATCGACCCGGGTACGAATCCGCCTTTTGCCCTTTTTTTTCTCTCCCTTTTCAAATCTCATATCACATCGGAATGGCATTTATTTTTTAATAAAAATATAGGAAATAATCAAAAAGTTGAAAATAAAGTATCAGGTAGGGTTAGGATAGGGGTAGGGAGGGCTTATACAGGTGCATCTCAATAAATTAGAATGTCATGGAAAAGTTCATTTATTTCAGTAATTCAACTCAAATTGTGAAACTCGTGTATTAAATAAATTCAATGCACACAGACTGAAGTAGTTTAAGTCTTTGGTTCTTTTAATTGTGATGATTTTGGCTCACATTTAACAAAAACCCACCAATTCACTATCTCAACAAATTAGAATACTTCATAAGACCAATAAAAAAAACATTTTTAGTGAATTGTTGGCCTTCTGTAAAGTATGTTCATTTACTGTACATGTACTCAATACTTGGTAGGGGCTCCTTTTGCTTTAATTTCTGCCTCAATTCGGCAGAATTGACAGTGGCCTGCAGCTCATCTGCATTTTTTGGTCTCGTTTCTCATTTTCCTCTTGAAAATACCCCATAGATTCTCTATGGGGCTCAGGTCTGGTAAGTTTGCTGGCCAGTCCAACACCATGGTCATTTAACCAACTTGTGGTGCTTTTGGCAGTGTGGGCAGGTGCCAAATCCTGCTGGAAAATGAAATCAGCATCAACGCTGGTCAGCAGAAGGAAGCATGAAATGCTCCAAAATTTCTTGGTAAACGGGTAAACGTTGGTTAGGTGTTTTGAGTTGATTAGCTGATTGGCATGTCACCATATTCTAATTTGTTGAGATAGTGAATTGGTGGGTTTTTGTTAAATGTGAGCCAAAATCATCACAATTAAAAGAACCAAAGACTTAAACTACTTCAGTCTGTGTGCATTGAATTTATTTAATACACGAGTTTCACAATTTGAGTTGAATTACTGAAATGAACTTTTCTACAACATTCTAATTTATTGAGATGCACCTGTATTGTCCCAATAAGGTGGCATCCATTTAATAATTTTATTTAAAATTATAATTTACACTCAATACCTTATTACTGCATACTGTTTTATAATGTACTGCAATACTGAGGTGCAGATATAATTGCCACTATTTGCAATAAGTAGTTTAGCAGAAAATCCTGCTATTTCAACAGTGTAAAAATAATCTATAGCTATTTGCACTTAGTGTAAATTGGATATCGCTTAAAATAATACTTTCACTTAGTGTAAATAGCATCTATCAAAAAATAAAATATGAGATTTTCACTTAGTGTAATCTAGTAGTACTCTATTGCTACTTACGCTTTACTTTATATTCCATCCAATGTTGCCAAGTCCGCAGTTTTCCCACGGAATGGGGCTACTTTAACATTGTTGCCGCGTGTTGTTTTTCATGTCCGCGGGTTGAACTGACCCCAAATACGTTATATTTAGCCCCTGCAATGCAAATTTTACTAGGGGAACTTCGCCACAAACGTGTATTTTATCCCCCAGAATGCGATTTTTACCGGGGGTCCCCCCTCGAAACACCATTGGGCTCATTTTGGACTAGTTTTGAGTAGCAGTTGGGCGGGTTTTGTTGTGAAAACTTGGCAACCCTGATCCCATCAGATTTGGAGTGTCGATCTTGAGGTCTTCGTGACCTGAATCTAGGTTTTGGTGTATGGTCTCAGATAAGACTGCAGCCTATTCCCACTGGTCTTCAGGAGATGAAGTTGCCACCGTCCCTTCACCATTTTAGAGAGCTGGCATGACTGAATGGCTTCTTAGTTCTGAGTTAGGTTCAAATAAAAGTTCAGGAGGAACATGTTTATTTAATCTGACCAATCAGCACTTGAAGAGGCGTATGTAAGCCACTATTTATCTCTGTCCTATACGACAGTTCTTTCGGCGTCCCTCCGCCGTTTCGGCGTCAAACCTCCTTTTCATTAAAGATTACATCAACATTTATCAGACACTTTTGTCCAAAGTGACTTACAAATGAGGACAATGAAAGCAATGAAAATCAACAAATCAATTCAGCATTTTCTGTGTTAATATAATGCTTAATCTAGTTGGTGAACCAACAGGTCAGGGGTTTATGTGGTCTCCTTTTGGCATCTCTGCATCCCAGTCCTTTCAATGATTTTAGCATGTAAAGTTGTAGTCTGCTTACTGAAGACAGGCAGCTCTGCATGATGGACCTAGTTGTTGTCTACTCGGGCTAAACAACAATCTCTTCACATCATATAGAAAATCTGACCTAAGATTAGTACATTTTTTTATTCTTCTCCGCAGGCAGATCTTAATCGTCAAGGTGCGTGGGAGCGACTGTGTTTGGAAAAAGACCCATTTATTCTCTCTGGAATCATGTGGTCCTGGCTGGAGCAGCTCAAAGAGCCAATCATCTCTGCTCATGATGTTCACACACTAACAGACCAGTCAGGACCCCCAAACTGTGCTCAATTGCCTAGATAGGGTAAGACTTAAAGGGTTAGTTCACCCAAAAATTAAAATTAGCTTGTGTTTTACTCACCCTTGAGGCATCCTAGGTGCATATGTCTTTCTTTCAGATGAATCCAGTCGGGAGTTATATTAAAAATTGTCCTGGCTATTCCAAGCTCTTTCATTGCAGTCAGCGGGTGTACATCAATGATGATGATTTAGCCCACAGATAGACTGAACTATAATTGTCCCATTTTTAGAAGTTAGAAAATGTGTTTTACATGGTGAATTGTTTGATGTAAATGAAATACCATACACTGTATATTATGTGCCATAGTGCTAATACTTGAAAAGCATTGCAACTGAAACCATTTTTGTAGCATGTTTGTACAGTTATTTGTAATAAAATAAATAGATTGCACACAACTAGAAATTAAATCTTCATCTTCATTTTACATTAGCATAAAGATCTGAAGGCTGAAGCCCCGTTCACACTACAAGCGACACGCAACAGCAAAGCGACACAATCCCATTCATTTCAATGGAGAGCTGGCGATTTCCGGCGACATGAGCGACAGCGGCTGTTGGCGATTGGATGGGGCGTGTCCAGCGACGCGACAAAGTTCAGAATCCTTCAACTTTATGCAAATGAAGAGCGACTTTCGGGAGCGACAGCCAATAGGAAAGAAGACGGTAGAGCTCATGTGATCGTTCTCCTCTCAGCGCCGTAGATAAACATATGCAATGGAAGAAAGTAGGCTCCGTTTCTCATTCATTTTTGTTTGTATGTACAGATTTAATTTAGATTTAGATTATATTTAGTCTTTTGCCTCCAAAATGTTTGTACTTGGCGGCAAGAAACCTGATTCGCTGTCAAGGCAACCAGTATTGACAAAAGTCGCTGCTAGTGTGAACGGGGCTTAACTGACTCCGAAACGATTCGCTCAATGATTCATCTTTCCAAACCACTCCTTTGCGTGATGCTAATCTGTGATTGGTCTCATTTTTCATTTCATCATGAGCCTGTGATGCCTGATAAAGCAGCGTTTGTGAGCGCAGTGCTGCTTTGTGTACAGCGTTACCGGGGAAACCGCCATTTTATCACTCCAAAAGCGGCACCTAGTGGCAAAGAATGAATTAGCATTTTCATTTCCAATGCGAAAAGACCAACAAGTGGGCGGGCAATATGCTAATATTTCATGTTGACCTCAACACGAAACGGCTTGGATTCGTTTTAAAAACGACTAATTTCAATGATTCAGAGTCGACTCTTTCTTTTGAGAGACTGACCCCTTGTCCAAATACCCACACTTGCGGTCTTGGCCACTTGAGAGCACGTGCGTGCGACAGGAAGTAAGTGCGCAAGACTGTCCCAGGTCTTAAAAATACCAAAGCGCGGTGCCCTTAACGCACACTAAACCAACACTATCTCGAATACCGCTGCGGAGCGCTATTCGAGGCTTAGTGTATCCCATCATGCATCATGTTCTGGAAATAAATAGTGAGACTTTTTGCCGAGATCTCGCGAGAGGTCACGGAAACCTTTCCAATGTAAGTTAAATATTAATATAATAATTAGATATTACAAATAATTTGGTAGAAAAACTTTTTACTTTTATTGTTGCAAAGATGAGTTGTGGTGATATTTATTTTGTACAACATTTTTTTATACTTTTAATTAGAAGCACCACAAATTAAAATTATGTCATGTTATAGGGACTACTGAACAGACATTTAGAAGTTGATTGCATTTCAAATATGCAAGTATTTCAAATTAAAATTAAAATAAAGCTGTGTAAACACTTGCATTTTTACAACACTATAAGTGTGTCCCATCAGGTAATGAAAAGTTCGACACACACTTGTGGTCTTCATGCTCACTTGAAGACTTCGGCCAAATACAGGAAATACGTCATTTAAGTAATCAAGTGGTCAAGTGCAAAGACTGCAAGTGTGGGTATTTGGACAAAGCCAATAACTATATGCACGGTGCACTTCCAGATTTAAAACTTTGCAGGATGTTTTCATTCACTTGGAGCTGTGTTACACACTGCATGAAAGGTAATTTTCAAAAATCCATAATAGGGGCACTTTAATGCATTTCTTCTGAGTTAAAATGTCATTAAACTACTTTTATCAGAAGAAAATCAGATAGTATGCCGGTATGGACACTGTAACACCATAAACGATCTAAAATGTAAACATGCATAATTTGGCACATAATGCAGATTATATTATAATATGATATATTATTATAATATACCATGTGGGTGTTTTTGTGAATACCTTCAGAAAGTATTCAGACCAGTGTTATTTTAGTATCATTGATATACTATTACAGTTTTTGTTCATATTTTTAATTTGATTTTGTTTTGATGTTTTGTTGTTCATTTTAGTTCAAATTGTAGTATGTTGTTCTATTTATTTATTTTTAAGTAGGTATAGGCCTATAATAAGTTTGTATTACATTTAAGTTTGTAGATTTGGTTTCTTTTTGGTTATTTTAACATAAAGTGAATGAAAGTGTTGCCTCGGGAACTAGCTGAAGTAAAATAAGTTTAAGCGTTTTAATATTTTATTTCAGTTATTGCTTATTTTGCAAGTAATGTTTTCATGGTTTTAGTTTTAATTAACAAAACCATCATTTTTCACATCAGTCCACATTCCACAGCAAAAACAGATTTGTGATGATAACTTTTTATTTATTTTAACAATTAATAAGAGTTTCACAATTTGAGTTGAATTACTGAAATAAATGAACTTTTCCACGACATTCTAATTTATTGAGATGCACCTGTATGTGCTCTGTTATTGTGAAATTATATGTAGGAACAATACAAACTTTAGAGTCACAGATTTCATCTGACCAGCATTTATCCAATTTTTTTAGACTGTCTTTTTACAAATTTTGATAAGGAGCTTTTTTTTAAACTACATAAAAAGTAATCTGATTACGTAACTCGCGTTACTTGTAATGCGTTACCCCCAACACTGATCATCAATATGACCATTCCATAAAAAACGCCACCTATATCTGCACCCTTAACTGTAATTTACAGTAGTATCTTACGGAAAACTAACACAGATTTAACTAAAAACAACAACAACCGGTTTTGATACAGTCCTGCTTATATAGTCTTCATTTTTATGCCTACTTTGAATGCAAGTGTTTCTTTTGCAATCACTTCTAAATTCAACTTAACAATTCATATTGATTCACCGATTCTGTTATGTTGAGACATGTTAAGTGCTTTAGATTATTACTGCTATCTGACGGGATGTGTCAGATGGTTTGTTTTTATTAATAGCGGTATTTATGGATCTGAATGAAAGCAGACACACGACTTCTGTGGTGCATATGAGACTGTATGGGTGGGCTCAGCAGCCCTCAGGAGCACGCCCAGATATATAAAGTAGAGGAGGAGGATGAAGGGGTCAGATCTGCTCTACCTGTGCCGCTATGCGCGCTCAACACGAGCTGGATACACCTTGACGGTGGAGCTACATGTGTCCTTGTTGGAAATCCAGGCTATTTCAAACGGACTTCAGGCCTGTTTAATTGCTGATAGATTGACTATTCAACCTGAAAGCTCAGTTACCTTGGAGCGAAACGAGACAGGACCATCATGAGCAGAAGAACACGGCGCTGGATATTTCACATGTTCCTTTGTCTCGGAATAATCTACTTGAAAATGGGGTGAGCTGATTGGGAAAATGTATTGTACAGTATATCATATCATAATGTTGTTATAGCCTAATAATGTTGTCTATTCTGCATTAGACGAACTTTCTTTGCTGCTCGGTATAGCCTATTTGCCTACTTTTCCAGTTGCAACAAGTTATTTTTATTTCTTATTAAATCAATATATTTTACAACGATATTGCGACAAATTAAAAGAAGTTGTGGTAACACTTCACGTAAAGCCTTTATGCATTATGAAAGTAGTTTTAAACTACATCTATAAACAGTTAAACAATATCTTATCATAATAACGTTACATAATAATACAGATATTTTTACTATTTCTCGACAACGGATTTTAGAACTTTATGATCCGATATTTAGCCATTCTGTGAAAGCTAGATAGTTAATGTAATAAACAGCTCTCTGGGCAAAATGTAGAATTTACCATAACTAAGACAATAACCCTTTTTTTTTTTTAAAAGATTGTGTTTTCTCAAATCTACTGGCACTTGAGAGACTGCCGTGCATTAACTGGTCATGCCAGTAGGGGGAGTGATTGCGAAAGGTTTTGGAGAATTGATCAACAATACTGCTAAGTAAACTGCTATAAGTGAAAGAATGAGTTTTTAAAATTGGGATCACATGCCTTTCTCAAGAATAAAGAGAATAAACGGACAGACATCTGACTCTCAGGCCTTTTCTAAAATCTGCAGTCATTACTGAAGCATCCTGCAGTATAGACTAACACTCCTAAACCACATCAAAATACGCCTGATTTATGCCTGTTTATTCTGTTTATCATCTCCAGTGTTGGGGAAAGTTACTTTTACTACTTTTCCAGTTGCAACAAGTTATTTTTATTTCTTATTAAATCAATATATTTTACAACGATATTGCGACAAATTAAAAGAAGTTGTGGTAACACTTCACGTAAAGCCTTTATGCATTATGAAAGTAGTTTTGCCTTGTAATGCACCTTATAATGCATTGTACAATCTCATGAATAGTTGTAACCACAGTTAATACATTATAACACTTATCAGTTCATTGTTACACTATGCATTTTATAATGATTTACGACCAGATATAATATAGGCTACTACAACGCACATTATGAATAATTATAATGCATTAATAACCCTTAATAATACATTATACTTAAAGGCTTTAAGTAAACTGCCACCGAAATTGTTGTTATTCAGCGGTAGGGAAAATCTTTTTTTTTCTTAAAGTAATGATGCTTTCCAAAGACATTAAAGGGCCTGCTGCGCAGGAATCTTTGGAAACTCCAGCCAGTGGACGCCTTCGGAAATGATCTCTTTATCCAATATGTGACTCTGGCGCACAAACCCAGTCATAAGGGTCAGTTTTTTTTTATTGAGATTTATACATAATCTGAAAACGGAATAAATAAGCTTTCCATTGCTGTATGGTTTGTTAGGATAGGACAATATTTGGCTGAGATAGCTACATCTGAGGGTGCAAAAAAAAAAACAATCAAAATCAAAATATCGCTCAGAAAAATTGCCTCGAAAGTTGTCCAAATGAAGTTCTTTTTTTGTTTTTGCTTTTTTTGCTTTTGATGTTTTTACGGTAGGACATTTACAAAATATCTTCATGGAACATGATCTTTACTTAATATCCTAATGAATTTTGGCATAAAAGATAAAATCGACCATTTTGACCCATAGCCTACAATGTCCCCGTGCTACTTAAGGCTGGTTTCGTGCTCCAGGGTCACACATGTGTTTGATGTTAAATATGAAGACGCTCTTCTCTGATCAACTTTAGGCGATCCTCCACCGTGCTGGCGCTGGGAGCGAGCATCATATGCAACAAGATCCCGGGACTGGCGCCCAGGCAGCGCATCATCTGTCAGAGTCGGCCGGACGCGCTCATCGTGATCGGGCAGGGCGCGCAGATGGGCATCAACGAGTGCCAGTTCCAGTTCAAGCACGGCCGCTGGAACTGCTCCGCGCTCGGCGAGAGGACCGTCTTCGGAAAAGAGCTGAAAGTGGGTATGTTGGAAATCTCCTCTCGTATGTCTAAAACAGCATTTGGGGGAATCTGGTATAAGAGTATAGGAGTGTTTACTAATCTGGTTACGGATTATACAGTTTGTTTAATTTTGGGTAAAACAGTTACCTTCTTTACTAGTCCAAGTTCATAGGCTACGTTATAAAGATCGACCTGTTAAGATTTCCGCGCTACATGCCTGAAATGTCTGGCAGATGAGATACATGAGCGTGTTTCTTACCTGCGGTCATACACGCGCTCCAAAGCATCTCAGAAACCAGTCATTAAAGATGGCAAAATCAAAAGAAGCTCAAATAAACGTACAGGTTCTTCAGAGCCTCCTACCCAATCTCATGAAGTGCGCATCAATAGCACGAGTTCTGTTTCTATGTGGCGTGCTATTTATACGCAGAAATCGACTTTGGCGTGCATATGATAAGCAATTGTTAGGATTAGGGGTGTGGGGTAGGTGCGTATTATATATACGCCAAAACTGCGTGTCATATGCACGCCAACAAATTGCGTATCTTATGGACGCGAAAATTGCGTATTATATGCACGCCAAACACATGCGTATCATATGCACGACAAAGTCAATTTCTGCGTATAATAGCATGGCAAATAGAAACAGAAAATCGTGCTATTGGTATGCATTTTCATTGGAGAACCATCATGAATTGCTGTATAGTTCCTTGAAGATCAAAATTTCTTTCAGTTTTATTTTATGTAGTTACTTGAGGTCAGTGTTTTTAAGAGTACAGCCCCTCTTTCTGACTGCATGCACCAGTGTTTGGGTTGGTATTTGCAGCCTGAAGAGTTTTTCCACAGGTGTAAATTACAGAGCCTGATAAGATGTCACCTGAGTCAAATGGACTTTTACTTTGCCAATCCAACCTGCTTAAAAATAAGGCACAGCTGCTGTATCAGTTTATAAAAGTTCATGAGGTCTAAGCTCTGAGTGAAGTCAGTAGAGAAAAAATCTGGGGGGGAAAATACTGGTGTACTGGTGAATATATGCTCCTAATATAATGCTTAGTGTCTGAGAGACACTTCAAATGACTCAAAAGCACAATAAACAGATCATCCTTGTACCACACACAGACTAATACATCTTTACTTTTCATAATCTCATGAGAATTTTTGTTTGTAATCAGTTTGTAAAAACAACTTACCTAGCTTCAATAATGCCAGATAATATCGTTATTTTACATTTTTACATTATTTTTACACAATTTTTTTGTGTGTGTGTGGGCTCTGTGAAAGCTCATATAGAATATATAGATATAGAACATGAATAAAAACAATTAATATTCACATAGTGTGCTTTTGCAACTTATTTGGATTTGTTATGTGTGTTTGACCCCAAATAAAGCAGCACTATTTTATTGGAACACAGCCACATTTCTGAATACTGCATGTCTACCCAACACATAACGTGTAGGTCTACCCGCCGGGTGATACAAGAGAGGGTTAAAGGGTAACACTATACAATAAAATCTCATTAGTTAACTTTAGTTAATGCATTACCTAAGATGAACTAACAATGGACAATACATTTGTTAGTATTACGTTTTCTTAATGCAAGTTAATAGCAGTACAGCTGTTCATTGTTAGTTCATGTTAGCACAGGTCCATTAAATAGTATTAACAGATATACTTTTTAATTTTCACAATACATTAGTAGATGTTGAAATTACCAGTAACTAAGATTAATAAAAGCTGTGGAAGTATTCTTCATCGTTAGTTCATGTTTGGTGATTTAGTAATGTTAATGTTAAATGGAAACTTGTTGTAAAGTGTTAATGGCAGTGTTGGGGGTGACGCATTACAAGTAACGTGAGTTACAGAGTCAGATTACTTTTTTCAAGTAACTAGTAAAGTAACGCATTACTTTTTCATTAACAAGAAAATATCTGAGCTACTTTTTCAAATAAGTAACGCCAGTTACTTTGTTTCTCATGTATTGAGTGACAGCTCTGGTGTTGCCATGGCGACAGAAATCAGGAGTAAGTGCAGAGCGTTGTGTGTGAACATGATCTTACTGTAGTTCTAGACTAAATATCAACATGTGTTTACTCATGTCACGTGGATAAAAACAGATTCAGTATTTTTCAAAATCAATAAAACAGTAAAAATGCAAACTCAAAATATGCAATATTTAATTAAATCAAACCAGCAATAATTAAAAAGCAATATTTAATTATGTTAAATAGCACAAATATTCTTTATGAATTTAATCCCATTTTATTAACCAATGTCTTTGCCTTGATCCAACTGATCCAATTCAACCATGCAAAGAAGCAAAAATGACTTTAGATAAACATAACATTTGTGGGGGTTTTGTGTGTGTGTGTGTGTGTGTGTGTGTTTGTTTTTATTGCTGATCGAAGAGTGTTAAGCTTTCTTTACTTCAGCCTGATGCTCATTCATTTCACTTTTGGTGTTAAGGGGCTTTTACGTTTGCCAAAAATAGAACTTTTTTATATTAAAAACAAACAATCAAGCCCAGCCCAGGTATAAAAAGTAACGCAAAAGTGACAATGCATTATTTTCTATAAAAAGTAACTAAGTAACATAACTAGTTACATTTTTAGGGAGTAACATGATATTGTAATGCATTACTTTTAAAAGTAACTTTCCCCAACACTGGTTAATGGTTAAAGTTGAAATAATATTTCTATAATTATATATTATTTCAACTTTAACCATTGAATATACATTTGTCTATAGTGTTATCATGGACGACAGCTCTAATTTACAGTTTGGGTTAATTGTTATCCATCTGCCGATTATGCAAATACAGCCGTGTTTGTCAGTGATTTATGGAGAAGGAATAAGTGATAACCTCAGGAAGTTCATGTGTTCAGGAGTTCGTCTGTTTCTTGACAACATGAAGTAAATCAGTAGCTTTTTCTTTTAAGAAAAAGTACATACTTTTAAGTGTGTATGTCCCAAAGTAGGCAAGCTTTGGGACATACAGTGATGGCCAGAATTGTTAGAACACTTGGAATATTTAAGAGGTTTCAGTTGTTTTTGTTGAATTGTCCATTACAATACCCATAAAACGAACTATTAGCGGATCTACCTGCGATGGAAGGAATCTGCTGCAACATTGAAAATGATGGACTGGCTTCTCAAAGTCCGGACCTCAACCCCATTGAGCAAATTTGGAGCGAGTTGGAAAATAAACTGGACAGATCTGTTGTACATTCAAAGGAAAGCCTTTGGCTTGAGTTGCAGAAGGCATGGGATAACATTAGTGTTGTAGTTCTCCGGAAATATATTGACACTATGCCAGAGACATGTGCTGCTATAATTGCTGCAAAAGCTGGACATACCAAATATTAAAGTTAAAATTGGATAAAATCGGTACACACTTCATCTGATATACAGTATGTTGTGCTCAGAGCAACCATCTGCATATTTCATGAACATTATGAAATGAAATAATATTTTGGAGGCAAAAAAAAGTCCATTCAGATCTGTCAGCTGTTCTAACAATTTTGGCCACTACTGTACTATCGTGTCACACAATTGCATCTCTGACGAATAGTTACCTGTAACTTGGCCTGTCAATCATCTTGTCACAGTTAACATCCACATTTCATTTCATTTAACTTTACTGTATTGGAGAGAACAAAAGTAGCACGTTGATTTGCCAAAGGCCGAGAACTCTGCTCACAGTAATGCATAATGATGCATTTGAAAGGTACTGGCCAAACGGATGTTTATAAAAATTCACATTGTTGTTGCAGATTAAACATAACACAGATAACATTAAATACCAGGCTTTTACCAGGTCAAATATGGATTATTAGTAACTCAAACCCCTTTATCTAAACCTAACTACTTAATCGCAAACATCTGCCATGTTTGTAGTTTTTAAACACTTTTTATTCATGTTTGTAGTTCTGAACTGAATCCTTTGCCAAAGTGCAATGGGTTGTGGGCAATATTATCTGTTACAATTTGCACAGATGCACACTTTGAAAATCTACCGGAAATAGGCTATATTCTTTTCAACATGCTACGCTTTTTATTCTAATCTCACATGCTATTTAGGATGGATAGTATGCACATTGAGACGCAGGGACAGTTACTTTTACAGCTGACCTTATTGCGGCTTATAGACCAATTTTGGTGTTTGCAAACAGTAATGACGTTTTTTGTGGGCGGAGCCTACCTGACTTTACTGTATTGGAGAGAACAAAAGTAGCACGTTGATTTGCCAAAGGCCGAGAACTCTGCTCACAGTAATGCATAATGATGCATTTGAAAGGTACTGGCCAAACGGATGTTTATAAAAATTCACATTGTTGTTGCAGATTAAACATAACACAGATAACATTAAATACCAGGCTTTTACCAGGTCAAATATGGATTATTAGTAACTCAAACCCCTTTATCTAAACCTAACTACTTAATCGCAAACATCTGCCATGTTTGTAGTTTTTAAACACTTTTTATTCATGTTTGTAGTTCTGAACTGAATCCTTTGCCAAAGTGCAATGGGTTGTGGGCAATATTATCTGTTACAATTTGCACAGATGCACACTTTGAAAATCTACCGGAAATAGGCTATATTCTTTTCAACATGCTACGCTTTTTATTCTAATCTCACATGCTATTTAGATGGATAGTATGCACATTGAGACGCAGGGACAGTTATTTTTACAGCTGACCTTATTGCGGCTTATAGACCAATTTTGGTGTTTGCAAACAGTAATGACGGTTTTTGTGGGCGGAGCCTACCTGGTGGCAGAAAATGACAGTGTGTACATAATATATATAACAAATTAGTACTTCTATGAGTAATAGTTATAAGTGTTCAAGTAGCAGTCTATGGAAGCCATGGAATTAAATAATAAAAAAAGGTACATATGAGTTTATATTTCAAAATCATGGCTTTATTCTCGCAATTCCAAGATTATATCTCACAATTCTGATAAGGAAAAATAACTTGTCATTCTCTTTTTTCCCCTCAGCTAAGAATCACGAGTTTATATCCCACAATTCTGGCTTTTTTATTTTTCCTCAGAATTGACAAACTCGCTATTGTTGAGTTAAATCGAGTCATAAAGTCCGAACTAGGAGATAAAACTTGCATTTGTGAGAAACATATTCAGAATTGTGAGATAAAATAGGTAACTGTTATGTAAAATGTTATAGGTTTAAGTAGTATTTCATGCTGTAACTGTAGGCTATGAACTGCATATGTGAATATTACGTAGACCTACACTGTTAAAAAAATTCCGTAAAATGTACGGTAAAAAAACGGCAGCTGTGGTTGCCGGAATTTTACCATAAAAAATACGGTAGCAACGTTTTAGGTTTTACGGTTTTAACTTAAATATACAGTTAAATACCGTAATTTCATTAACATGTAATGTCCAATACAGCATTTTTACCATTAAATTCACGGTCATTTTTTACAGTGTATTGTTTAAATCAAATTTATGCTTTAGAAGTAGAGTAATCATAGCAGGTTTTGTCCATATTCTGTCCATTTAAACACCTGCGTTTAGTTTCAAATGGCGTCTTTGACGAAAGTATTCTATATAAATGATTTGTATTCCAATTCTGACATCTAAAGGCGCAATAATACATTTTTTCTTTTATTCCATGGATTTTACCCGTTTCCCTCCACTTGTTATCAGTGTTTTTCTGCCTGCAAGTGATGTAACTGTGACGTCTACTCTAAACTGGTCTATTATGCATTTAGGAGTTTCCCTTTCAGGCGCAAAATTTATGGCAGGAGAGTATTTAGATGAAGGTGATTTACTAAGGTTTGTGCTAGTCAGTTTACTTTAATTTGTGCCACCCAAAAAGCATATCTTAACCCATTTTTTGCCTGTGTTGTTAATAGATTACACACACCTGATTACCATTGGCTCTGCTTATTTGCAACTCTACACTAATTTGTGCAGCTCTTGGTAGATTGTGTTGGTCATTATGAAAATGATCTGTGTCTTTATTTTGGGCATTGTCAGTAGATCAGCCGCAGAACTTTCCAGTCTCATCGGTGCTTTTATGGGATTGTGGCTAACGCTAATTTGCCCTGTTTAGTAAGTCTGGCCCTTAAGTTGTTATTCACTGAAATCTTCCCATCCGCTGCAGCTCAAATCTCACTGTTTGTGCATATTCGAGCTTGGTGTGTCATGTGCAGCTATGAGACACGTGACGTTTGGCCGTGCCTCGTCATGTCAAGTCTGAAGATGAGCATGTGGGTGAGTAAGTGACCAAATTTTCATTTTTGGCTGAACTGTTCCTTAAAGAGGTATTATCTATCAGTGAAGTGATGTTTTGGTTACACTGAACGGATCAAGTGAAAGTCAAGTGCAGGGAAGGAGTCAGTAACTATGGCACTGCGGTTTGCAGCCGGCCTCGAAGCCAAGACTCAACTGGCACAGCAATAATAGGAAGCTTTTAGGGGTAAGAGCAGAATAAGTGCTAGAGTTTGATTACAAATCAGATGAGCTCCAACACACCGAGCTCTGTGCAAATTCACTCCCATTTTCTGCTCAGTTTAATAGACATTGGCCTACAGCAGTATCCCCTGTCACTAGCTTTGATGGAAACGTTTCATCTTTGATGCTGTGTTTTGTCTCAACTTTCAATGCTCAAACCGCCAACGATCCTAAAAGGCTTTTTCACTTTCACCTGCATTTAGAGGCCATGCTTTTTTTCTGCGTATACATTTGTTGTCTTTGATGTGGAACAAGGGTTTTCCCTTGGGAAAAAGAAGTGCGCTGAATGTGTACAGCTGAAAAAAATGATTAATTGAATTTACTACATTTTTTAAGGTAAGTGGTTGCAATCAGCTTATTTGAGCTACATTTAAATAAACAAATTTAGCTGACTAACTTTCAACATGTTTTGTTTTTTAAATGTAGCTAAAATAAATTGTTTGCAACCACTTACCTTAAAAAAAAGTAGTATAATTTTTTTCAGTGTAGTGTATCTTAAAATATATATATTTTAAAATTGTACTTGCAGAAATAGTAATGAATATTAATGAAATAAAGACCTCTACATTTTCATGAGTTTTTCTTAACATGCTTAAGCGCACTTGTTAAAAAGTCTGCTATGTAATATTTATTTTTTAATTAACGGTTTTACTTTAATAATCATTTAATACATTTTTCTCATGCTTTAACAAAGTACACTTATTTTTGATGTGTTGACTAACATACTAAAGCACATGGAAAGTACTTGAGTATAATTTTACCTCTAGTGTATTCACTATTATATTTAAAGTTAATATATTTTAAATCTACTAAAATAAATGTGTAATTACAAATACATTACAATACAAGACACAGAAGTTTCAATAGAAATTACATTAAATATTAATTATACATATATTTAAGTTTACTATAAATGCTTGTCAGTACACCTTTTAACCATATGCGCTTAAGTTTAACTAACTAAAACTATAATAATTAAAAAAAAAATGCTTTTTCACCAGGGGTGATAGTTAACCATCTTGTTTTGCAATTTTGTTTATTAAAATAAAACAACAAGCCCTCCTATCTGTTGTCATGATCAAGTTAAAGGAATGGTTCTCCAAAAGGAAAAAACTCCACAGAAGCAGTCATTAAAGGGGTCATATTATGCCATTTCAATTTTTCCTTTCTCTTTGGAGTGTTACAAGCTCTTGGTGCATAAAGAAGATCTGTAAAGTTGCAAAGACTAAAGTCTCAAATCCAAAGAGAGATTCTTTATAAAAGTTAAGAGTCAGCCACGCCTACCTAAAACGGCTCGTTCTAACACGCCCCCACATGTCTACCTCACTATGTGGGAAGATTTGCATAACGCCGCCCAAATGTTCACGCAAAGAAAGAAGGCGTAACTTTAATTAAAAAGACAGTATAAGTCATTATAATCCGTAATTATGTCCCCACTGGATGCAACAAAAGCCTCGTTTATAATGGTTTTTTTTGTCTCGTCGCTCCGGCCTGACAGGGCATCACAGTATAGTGAGGGGCATAACATTTCCGTCACACGCTTGAGGTATTCGGCCAATCACAACGCACTGGATAGCTGGCCAATCACAGCACA